TCTCTCTCTCTCTCTCTCTCTCTCTCTCTCTCTCTCTCTCTCTCTCTCTCTCTCTCTCTCTCTCGTTGCCTTCTGTGCAGGTACACGGCACCTTCTTCCGGAGCGCAGCTACGGCGGACTTCTTTCTCCGATGGTGCACTTCGGTTATGGCGCCTCACTGGCGCGTGCCTCCTTCCCTATCAGCAACGACTATGGTGCGTGGGGTAACGGGAACCAGCTCTGATACCAGTGCAATCAGACTCGCTTTCACTTCCTCTTCACATACATGCAAACAGACGGGAATTCACACTGGCGCAGGGCGCCCACTCAAAGTTCAGATGCAAGTTCACTTCAACAGGCTATGGCGCATCGGCGCCTGAACATCCCAACCTTCGTCACTGTGTCCAACCCCACTGTTCACACATGCTCACTCTGGATCACCCTGAATGCCACCACACCCACATGCTTAGTCCTACTTCCTCCTACAGCAGCTATGGCCGCACTACCTCTACTGGCTATGGCTACGATCTCCCTTCAGCCCACTTCGTCTTCGGGCAACCTGCAGACCACCTTTGCATTACGTCGACCGGCTACACAGATCTACAGATCGAACCCCTACCATTACACAGACCTACGACAGACAACAACAACTCTCAAAACACAGGTCACGGGTTCAAACACTCGGGGTCGACACAGATACTGTACACAGGTAAAGTGAGGACTAGGGATCGAGCCCTGGGACCTGCATCCGCTACTGCTAACAGGTGAATACCGTTTCACCTTCAATTCTGAATCGGTTAAAGGTGCCTCCAGACATGCACGATCTGAGTGATTGTCTTTTTGTTGTCTGGGACCAGTGACTGGAGTTTGGCGAGAGGTCCGTATTAGGATCTTCTCCTAAATCCGTGACATGAGTATGTCCCGGAAGTAGATCCTCGCATACTCGCACATTTTACTCGATGAGGCTGCCACTTCCGCCGTAGGGAAGAAGGGGTGCTGTAGAGATTTCATTCCTTGGGCTGTGCACTTTAGAGACAGCTTCTGAAACATTCTATCGTACACAGTGATTCCTTTCACCTTCAATCTCTCAGCCCATTCCTCCGATTTCCTTTGCTGTAATTCATCCCATTCCGTCATTAATCTGACACGGTCCTCCACCCACACTTGTGCTGAGACAGGGTGTAGATCCATTCTCCTCTCTACTTCCTCTAACCTGTTTCTGATCTCGATTTCCTCCTTGTCCCGTCTTGCTGTCATGATACGTGAGAAAACGCTTAAGATGCTTGAGGTTGTCGCTGAGCCAGCATCCCACCAGTCACCTGTTGATTGGAGGTGCTTCTTTGCCTCTGGCCATCTCACCCAAAAGGTATCAATCCATCTTGAGATAGACTCCTACTCTATAGATCTACAGATCGAACCCCTGCTTCCTTCGGGACCCTATGACAGACTACTAACTGTTACAAATACACAGGTC